AGTAATAAGACGAATCAGGCGAATCAGACGAATAAGACGAAACACAATACTACGAGGAATACCAATAATACTAAGAAGACGATTAAGAATAAAGAAGAAGATGAATATTGATAAACATATTAAGAACATTAATACGAAACAATAATACTAATACTAATCATACTATGAGTAATAATAGTAAGAGTAATAATGCTAAGAAGAATAAGAATAATAATACGCATGCTAAGAATAATAAGAATATGACGAATCATACTAGTACTATTAAGAGAATAATACACATACGAATAAGCATACTAATAATAATACTACGAATGATTTACTAATAATACTAATACGAATAAGAATACTAATATTAATAATAATAGTAACACTACTAGTAATAATAACGATGATGATGATACTAAGAATAGTTTCAATATTAGTAATAAAATAATATTAAGAAGGCGATTACTAATAATAATAATGCTATTACTAATAACAATATTACTAATAACAATAATAAGAATAATACTACTAATGATAATAATACTGATACTAATACTAATACTACTACTGCTACTAATATTAATAATCATAATAGTAATACTACTAGTAATAATAACGATGATGATGATACTAAGAATAGTTTCACTATTATTTCTAAAATAATATTAAGAAGACGATTACTAATAATAATACTATTACTAATAACAATATTAATAATAACAATATTAAGAATAATACTACTAATGGTACTAATACTAATACTAATACTAATACTACTACTGATACTACTAATAATAATAGTAATAATAATAAGAGGAATAATACGAATACTACGACTAATAATAATAATGCTAAGAATAATAATATGAATAAGAAGAAGAATATTATTAATAAGAAGACGAATAAGAATAATAAAAAGAAAAAGAGGAGGAGGAGGAGGAGGAGGAGGAGGAGGAGGAGGAGGAGGAGGAGGAGGAGAGGTGGAGGTGGAGGTGGAGGTGGAGGAGGAGGAGGAGGAGAGGTGGAGGTGGAGGAGGACGAGGAAGAGGGGGACGAGTAGGGTGAGGAATGCCCTTCCCTCGCGCCCTGCTCCCCGCCTCCGCCCCCCTTCGCCCTGCGCCTGGAAGCCCCCCCCCCCCTTCGCCTGCTGCCCAGGACGGCGTGGTGGCCCTATGGGACGCCGCCGCCCCAGCCTTTCGGCCCCCGGCCGGCACGACGCGGCGCCCGCGGGGCCACGGCCCCCGAGCCAAGACACGGCGAAACACTGATGAGCAATGTCCTGGTTTAGGGGGGGCCATCGCTGATTGGTGCCCCGACCTCCTCGCGTTGTGAACATCACGACGGGAGGTTTTTCGGTATTTTCGGCCTCGGGGGGCCCTTCCTGGGCCTCTGGACCGTCAGAGAACGACTCAGGATGACAAGCCGGTCCCAGGGAAAGGGTCCAGACCTCTGGGGGTCGACGTTGTGACAATAATCACGACGTCGGAGGTCTGGGTAAGCAGGACCGACTACCACGCGGTTTTATTCAGTGATACTTGATCATTGAGTAGCACTGATTGGCCGCGGGACGCATTTCTCGATCCCCCCGGTTATCCGTCGCACCAAAAATAGTAAAGCTCATGATCTATGATAAAGCATCTGGGAGTGCCGTAATATACGTAGCGTTACGGCTCGAGTCTGTTCTCATGGTCCCCTGGGCCTACCAGCTGGCCGCGTCCAAGGCCTCAGACCTCGGCATCTTGTGGGCCCTCGGCTCCAAACAGTGCCTGCCGTGCCCCGATCGTTCTGTCACGTGCCCGTCGGTCACTTGCGCGACCCCAGCAATCAACATGACCTGCCCGACCTTCGCGTGCTCTACCATCCCTGCGACAGGCAAAGGCCCTTCGAATTGGACTGGATTGCTCGGCTTCGTGGTGGGCCTCGTCGCGGGCTTCGGAGTGTTGACTTGTCTGGGCTGGTCAGTCGTTGCAGTTCCTGCGTGTTCCTCAAGACCTCTGAGTCTACGGGCGACGAGAACCGCGAGCTAGCCCTGAAGCCGCTGACGATCATCCGCCAGCGTCATGGCGGCTCCCGGTGACGTGGTGCTGGTGAGGTATGACTTGCCTGGCCCTGCGATCTGGCACGAGCGCCTATTACTCGCAGCAGATTTGCAGCCAGGCTGTTTTGCGGTTCTCACGCCCGATAGTGACATCATTGTGGCACACCCTCGTGCAGACAACGACGACTCTGCGTGTCTATCGGTTTCGGGCAACACCGGCGGCGGCGGAGATGGTCCAGCGCGTTCGAGATGGTGCGTTGCAGGCAGGAGTTGGAACACCATCGGCCCCGGTGGTGAGGGCAGCGGGCGCGTCCGCAGCGCGGGCGGCGGCGGGACTGCCGCCCTTGGGGCCTGCGGCCCCCCCTGCTGGGGCGCTGGTGGCACTGGCTCCCCTGCTCGGGGCTCGCTTCGGTCCTGCCGCGCCGCCGCCTGCGGCCGCCGCGGGCGCAGGCGTCCCGGGCGCTGCCGCGGCCGCCGCCGCTGCTCCTGGCACTGGCCCCAGGCGTGGAGCCGCCGCCGGGTGCGTCCCCGCTGGTGTGGATGGCCGCCGAGGACACCGCGGACGTCTCCAAGGGGACTCCGATCGCGGTGCTGCCGGACGCGGCGCTCATCAGTGGAGGTCGCGGCATCATCCCGTGGGGCAACAGCCCGTTGTTCGTGAGACGTATGCCCGAGGCCGACTTCTACAGACTCGTGCATGACGACTTGAGGGTGCTGCCAGTGGTCACGGACGCGTCGGGCGAGCAGGACATCAGCTTCGCGGAGGCCGTCCCAGCCACGGACCCCGCGCTTCCCCGCGGAGGCATCGGCCTAGACGGGCCCGTGATCACGTTCTGGCAGCTGAAGCAAATCAGGGACGACGACATGAATCCCGACCATCGTCATGAGAGATGGGTGAGGTCTGGACGCGTACCTGAAGGTGATAGGTCGGTGTATGAACATCAGGTTCTGTGCAGGATACTGGACGCGTCCGCCACCCGCGACCAACTCAATCTGCCTGCCACGAAGTGGGCTGAGCTCGTGTGTCGACGCATGAGCCTCATCTAGGAGGCCCATCGGGCTGCCCCATCCAATCCATATTATTCTGCGGGTGACCTGCTCATGGGATGGGGCTTGCAGGCGGCAGGCGGCGGCGCCAACCCTGCGCTGGCGCAGTATGTGGCTGGTCAGCTCAAGGACCAGGCGGCGATCACCAAAGAGCGCAGGAATGCCCGCGAGGAGCAGCAATCCCGGGGCCGCAGACGGGGGCGTGGCCGCGGCCCCTGGCCCCGCGGGCGAGGAGGGATGAACCCCCTCCCTCCTCCTGGTTAGCCTGGCCGGCTCCCAGGAGGCCGCGCAGGCCAGCGGGGCGGTGAAGTGTTACAGCCTCAGCTTCGCCAGCCACGCGCCCCTGAAGTTCTCGGACCCTCCTGTGCTCACCGATATGGTCAAGCTGTTTTTGGGGAACGGCCTCGCGACCTGTTCACTCTGCCTCTTGTCGATGCTGCGCAGGGTGTCCCTGAGCAAGTTTTGTCTTCTGGTCGGGCCCTCCGTAGGCGAGAGAGGCGTGCGCGTGGGGCGACGACGTTGCGCAGTGCCCTTAATGAGTTGTACGGCGCCTGCTCGGTCCCAACCTCGTGAGGTACTGAGTAGGGCGCTGAGTAAGCTTGCTTCTGTGCGTGGCGGCGGAAAACGTGCACCTTTGCGCCGTGATGCCTTTCGTTGGTTCTTGCGCGCAGACTTCTCCTACGCTTCGGAGGAGGTTGCGAGTCGCGTCCGTCCTTTTCGCTCTGCCCCCGCGTCACTTCCTCAGTCGGGTACAACAGGCCCCCCTTCCCCGATGATTTCCTTGACCACGAGGGGCGACAGGTCTTGATCGAGGGGGTCGAGACATCATCTCATATCATCCTTTTACTTCGATGAGGTCTCACGGGCGGGTCCTACTGCATACGAAGGTTTTGTGAAATACTTGTAGTGCGCGGGTGTCGTTGAGTTTTCTCGTGGCCCTGATGATTATTTCGCTCCGTTTTTTGTCGGCAAGAATTGTGCCGCCCTTCGTGTGGCCATGGGCCGCAGAGGTCCCGGCCGGAGATTCAGGGCGCCACCTCGGATGGGGATTGCCGCTAGAGCTGTCCTCTCTCGCGCGCAAGTTCCCGTTGGGCAGGTGCTGTGCTGTGCGATGTCAGATGTCAGCAACTTTCTCTAGTGGCTCGTGCAGCCGCTCTGGCCGCTCTGGCCGCGGAAGTTTTTTGGCCTGCCACCAATTCGCGCCGCCAAGGCCGTTTCATGGGGTGCTCTTTTTGGAGGTATCTTCTCAGGGCGATCTTCTTGACGTGCCTGTCCTGTAATGCGTGTATTCCAACGGGGTTGGTCCTGGGCGTTCTGGTTCGCTCAATGGTCTCATGCGTATCAGGTGCTCTGGGGTGCGCGTCTGGGCTCCGATCGGCTCCTGGATGATCTTGCCTTTGACTTATCTAGCAAGGTCCCCGTGGCGCCCCCTACTGCGACAACGTAGTAGTCATGGGTGCAGACAAGGACTCCGTGAGAGTGCAGTTTCTGGCGGTAGAAGACGCGTGGGCTTCCAGATTCGCGAGGGGGCTAAGGCCGCCGCCTTCGTCGAGTCCGCGGGCTACTTGGTCGACGGTAAACGATCCCCTCTCGGCTCGAGAGGGCCGTCGCAGCTGTCGCTCATTTCAGGGGAAGGCCGCGCGTCGCCGGTTGGTAGATCAGCGAGGCACCAGGCTACGTCGCGCCGGCTTTCCCGATTCATTCGCTCTTCTCGCTGCCCATTGCCAGTTCATGCGCGAGAACTGGGGCCGCGAGAGACGTCGCTGGCAGTCTGCAGCTCGTGAGTGTGAGTGGATTTCAGTGCTGCTGCCGCTTGCTTGGGCGGACCTCAGGCTGCCGTGGTCTGCGCAGGTAGAAGCTGCAGATGCATCGCTGTCTGGTTAGGCCGCTGGTAAGTCTCTCTGGGATATTTCGGATGTGATCGACGCTGGTGGTGCTGAGGAAAAGTTCCGTTGTCGTTGTGCCGTGCCGTCTGCCGCGCCGCGCCGCGCCGCCTAGGGGGCGCTCGACCCGTTCCAGGACCTCGAGGCGGTCGCCCGTTTCGAGCCCTGGCCTACGAGCATCATGTCCTTTCCAACGAGATCCCCGATGGCCTCCTGCAGGACTCCACTTGGAAGACCAGCTGTGCCTCGCCCTTCGTTTTCAAGGAGGGCATTGGAGATCTGGAGTCAAGGGCCCAGATCCACGTCCACTTGGCTGCACCTCGAGCTCGCGTTCTGAGAGCGGCGCCCGTGGGCCCGTCGAGGCCGGCTGCTGTTGCCAGGCGCGCGCGCGGGGGGCCGAGGAGAGGGTGCGTCTCGCCCGAGGTGCCCCCGTTGAGGAGTCTCGCGCTCGTGTCAGGCGCGAGCTGGTTTGCTCGATCTGCATCCGCGCGTCGGAGTTGGCCAGCTCGCGCGGGGACTTTCCTGGGGGCCGGCGCCGTCTCGGTGCGAGCGCGCGCCGCGCGGGTCAAGAAGATGGCCGACTTCGAGCACTGAGCGCTGGCAGGGGGCCTGGCGCTGACGTCGGCAAAGCTCGTGGACTGCGCCATGGTGGATTCTCTGAACCAGCTGTGGATCGAGGGGGCGGGCGTCGGCGAGGCGGCGGGCGCGCGCGCCGCCCGTGTCGTGCCCCCCCCCGTCCTTCTCGAAGAAGGGCCCCGACGAGCTGGTCCGCGCCGTGAAGGCGATGCAGGTTTTCAACGGCCTGGATCCGGGTCGCGCGCGCCCGCCGCTGCCCCTCGCCTTCGCGGCCCTCGTCGCTGAGGAGCTCATCGGCATGAACTCAGCATGGCCGTGGCCGTCCTGGTGAAGATCTCGGCGTATTCGAGGCCGATCGAGCTCCTGTCACTGCGAGTCACAGACGCGCTGGTGCCGACCCTGGGCAGCCCGCGCTGCGCCATCCACCTTCGCCGCGCGGAACGGGGCCAGCCCTGCAGAGTTGGTCTGTGCGACGTGGCGCTGGCTCGTCGACTCTCCCGCTCCTAGGACGTGTTCGGGGCGGGCGCGGGGTCGCGGCTGCGGGGCCAGCTATGTTCGACTTCGGCTGCCGGAGCTTCAGCGAGAGCTTCGAGACAACGAGCAGAAAGAACAGCAGGCCTGGCCAGCATCATGCCCGACCTCTACCAGCTGCAGCGCGGCGGCACCTCGCACGACATCTTGAACCGTCCGCGCGCGAAGGCAGAGGTGGGGGGCAGGGGGTGCTGGGGGGGCGACCGGCCCGTCCGCCGCAACGAGGCTCGCGGGGTGCTCCAGCGGCAGGAGAAGCTCGTCTCAGAGGAGACACAGGACCGAGCCGCCGCTTGTCTGGTCCATGTCGAGGCCAGGCTCCGATCAGGCATGCCGCCGTCAGCCCGCTCCGCGCTCTCTTCAGATATCAGAAGTTCGTCGAGCTCTTCAGTGGGGGTGGGGGGGGAGGGGCGGGCTTCTCGCTCGAGGGTTTCAAGCGGAAGCTTGGGGCGTGAAGGGCGGGCCTTGCGCCGACGCCCTGCCGCCCCGCCGCTGGCGCAGGTTCGCGCGGGCCGTGGCCCGGGGCCTCTGAGGGGTGATCAGAAGCAGCGCTGGGTCTTCCCAGATCTCTCGTTCGGGTCACGGAAGAGTTCAGCTTGGCAACGGGCTCTGGGCCACCGCCTTCCGGGCCGCCTGTCAGGTCGCTTCCCTGGGGGGCTCGGTGGTGCTCGAGAGCCCGTTCTCCTTTGGAGTGTGGCTCATGAAGCACGTGAGGTGCCCCGCGCGCAATCTGGGGCTCGCCTTTTCGAAGCTCACTAGTGTCAGTATTGCGCCCGGTGGAAAACCTACATGCCTCCATCTCACCAACTGTGACTCTGTAATCTTCGATGCCGTTGCTCAGGGACGGGGAGGGGGGGGGCGCTGTTCTGCTGCTGGGCACAGACGCATGCAGCTAATTGGAAAGGATGTCGATGGACACTTTCGCATTCGAAGGGCTATGTCCTATCCTTCCCCCTGTCATTCTTGATCTCGTTGCCTGGCCGCAAATTCAACTGAGCGGTATATGCTAAGCCGTGGGCCCCAATTCTTAGGTGGTTAATTTGATCACTCTCTAATGTGTTGCACTTCGTAGAGCACGTGTGATTATGGGCGTGGGCGCGATTTCATAGATCGCTCAACGTATCACGCTCCCGCGACTCGTCGCCACAGGACTGTTGATGCCTACTGTTTCGCTTGTGCATGCCCGGGCGGAGAGCTCAGCAATCGCGTCCGCTACGCAGCAGACATATCTTACATATCCTGAGGCTTTGCCGTTGCGCGTCCTGGCGCGGGCGCGCGCGGGATCATTGTAGAGTTCACGAGACATGATAGGGGATTTGGGAGCGCCGCGCTATGACATTAAGGCTTAAGACTCCCGCCCGCTCACCGCCCTCGACCCTGTCGAACAGAGTTGATTTCTTGTTGTTTTCGCAGCTGTTCTTTCAGAACTCTCGCTCGAGCGGGGGGCGGGCCGGTCCCGCTGAGTGTGATTTCGTAGATCGCTCAACATGTCACGATCCCGCACATCGTCGCCACAGGATTGTTAATGTTTATTGTTACGCCCGTGCATGCCCAGGCGGAGAGCTCAGCAATCATGCGCGGTGTGCTGCTGTCTGTCAGTCTGTCTGTCCGCTTGCCTGCCTGCTTGCTTGCCTGCCTGCTTGCCTGTCTGTCTGTCCTTCTGTCAGTCTGTCAGTCTGTCAGTCTGTCAGTCTGTCAGTCTGTCTGTCTGTCTGTCTGTCTGTCTCTGTCTGTCTCTGCCTGCCTGCCTGTGTGTCTGTCTGCCTCTCTTTCTGCCCGCATGCCTGCCTGTCTGTCTGTCTGCCTGTCTGTTAGTCTGTCTCTATCTGCCTGTCTGCCTGTCTGCCTGTGTGTCTGTCTGTCTACCTGCCTGCTTGCCTGCCTGCCTGTCTGTCTGTTTTTGCCTGCCTGTCTGTATGCCTGTCTGCGTGTGTGCCTGCCTTTGTGTCTGTTTGCCTGCCCGCCTGCCTGCCTCTCTGTCTGTCAGTCTGCCTGTCCGTCTGCGTGCCTGCCTGCCCGCCTGCCTGTCCGCCTGTCCGTCCGTCCGTCCTCCTCGCTCTTCGAGCCTCGGCCCCCCCCTCGGTGCCCAGCCCCCGACGTCGTGATTTTTCCACGACGACGTGGACCCCTTGGAGACCTCGACCCCTCCCCGCCCCTGACCTTCCAGAGTGCAAGCAACATAGCACTTCGGACCTATAGCTCTATCTGGACCGCCTCAGACCTCGACAGAGATTAGGACGGCGATGTCGTGGTGTTAGTTTTTAGCCCTCCTGGAGAGTCAGGGCCAACGGGGCCGTTATTGTTTCCTGAATTGTCTTGGGCGGCCCACGGTAAGGAGGGACAAACCACAGGCACAAACAGTCGCCGATTCCCAGGAAAGTATGGGAACATATGGGAGGTGCGGCGGAGGAGACGAATATCAAGAATGTGTGAGAATGTCAAAGGGGAGTGCTGGGATTTGTGTATTTTATTTGTGTGCCGCTGGGCCGTTTCTCCACAAGGCCTGGCGAGAGCCCCCCAGAGAGGCCGAACACGGTCGCGCGCCCCCCTCTGACGCACTCTTCTCAAGACGCGAGGCGGTAATGGGAGCGCTCCTCTCGGGAGGGATGAAAAACATTTCGGAGGAGGGAAAGGTACCCATACTCCTACCTTTAAGTCGGGCCTGTCCCTCTACAGGGGGGAAATTCAAAAATAATACAAAAATAGTCTGGGGAGTATTATTTGAGCATTTTTTGTCAATTTTGGCGCATGTTTTGAGTATTTTCATTTTTCGTCGAAAATCCCCCTGTAGGGGACACGCCCGACTTAATGCACCCCTCCCCTCGTTTCCCGATTTTTCGGCCTCCTGGGAGGCCCTCGTCGCCACCGCTGAATTCGCCCCGAGGTCCTGGTCAGAACGCGCCCTGGGAGAGGTCCGAGGAGTAGCGGTATCGGTACCTCTGGGTTCCGCCAGTATCGACAACACGCGCGTCGTCGTGCAAGCTCTCCCTTGCGCGTGTCGTGCAGGAGACTCGGTGTCTCGTCAGCAGCAGCAGCAGCAGCAGCAGCAGCAGCAGCAGCAGCAGCAGCAGCAGCAGCAGCAGCAGCGCGCCGGCGGGTCCACCCGACCGGCGTGTCCGCTGGGCTCGAGGCTCCTCTCCGAGTCCCCCCCCCCCTCCCCGAGCCACCCCGAGCGTCAAAGAAGGCGGCCGCACGGCCCACGGGCCGTCGCTGGACAGGCGCGGAGGGAGGAGGCCCTCGCCCCGCCGCCGCCGACCTCCCAGGTGGCCCTCCTGGGCCCGAGCGCGCAAGAGGTGCGCCGGGCGCGCCATCACGGGGGGGGGGGCGATCGATAGTAAGAGAGGGGGGTGGGGAAGAAGGGTGTCCTTTCTCGGGCCCCAAGGGGCCCCCTCCGGGGGGCTCTGCAGCCCTCGCGGCCCCCCCCCTCATTGTATCGCTCCCCCCCCCCCTGCACGTCGCGCCCACGGCCCGGCATCCCCGGGCACCTGGCGACGCCAGAAAACGGGGTCGTCTGCGCCGACCTTGGCGCGTAAGATCTCCGCGTAAGCTCGCGCGTGAGCGCCCTCGCCTCACATGTGGCGTGCCGCGCGGGCGGTCCGCGTATGAGCTGCGGGGTAGGGTCACTGTTTCATCTCGCGTAAGGCCCGTTTTCGGTCGTCGCGCATCTGGCGACGGGTCGTCTCTCCGCTGCGCCGCCGCCGGCCTCCCAGGGTTGCGCGCTCCCAGGCCCGAGCGCCCCAGGTGCGGCATCCCCCCCTCTGGCAGCGGGGGGCCTTCTCTCCGCTGCGCCGGTCGCCCGAGAACGTCCCCCGACTTCCCTCCCGACCCCCCAGGGGGCCGGCCTCTCGCCCCAGAGCCTCCTATTTTTCTTCTTCTTCTTCTTCTCCTCCTCCTCCTCCTCCTCCTCCTTTTCTTCTTCTCCTCCTCCTCCTCCTCCTCCTCCTTCCCTCCTCCTCCTCCTCCTCCTCCTCCTCCTCCTCCTCCTCCTCCTCCTCCTCCTCCTCCTCCTCCTCCTCCCCCCCCATCCCCATCCCCATGCCCCCTCCCCCCTCCCCCTCCCCCTCCCCCTCCTCCACTTTGTCTGACGGCCGCGGGGCCCGGGAAAGGTTTGCCCTCACCCGTTGCAGGTGGGCTCTCGCGTGGGCGAGGAATAACAAATTCGCAGGGCGACGAGATCTAGATACATCCACCGCCGCTGGCCAGGTCCCTGGTTTGGCCAGGGAGGCCTATGCACCGCTCATGGGCCCAGGATGGGCCTGGCCAGCAGCAGTGGATATATATATATATATATATATATATATATATTCCTCTTCCTATATTTTTATAAACCCGGGCGGGGGGAAAACCCGTCCCCCCCCCCCCCCAAAACCGGACTCCCGGGATCTGGGGCTTTGGGACCCTTCGGACGGGCCTCGAAGCGGCCACCGGGCCTCGCAGGGCGCTTTGCCAAGCCTTCCCAGCACACCTAGGGCGATCAGGGGGGTCATCGGAGACGTCCCAGAGACCCCCAAGACAGCACAAGAGCGCTCCAAGAGTGACCGACGTGACCTCAAGATGGCCCAAGAGGCCTCCAGGACGGCCCCAAAGAGGCCTCCAAGAGAGCACTCCCAAGAAGGCCCCCCGAGGCAAAAATCATTGATTTTCTGTTGGTTTTTGGTGAATTTTGGGGTTCTCCTCTTTTCGGCTTTCCGACGCTCCAAGACGGCGATCTTCTGGGCGTCCGAAGCCGCCTGGGAGGCTCCCAAATCGCCCATCCGAAAGGGCTTCCAGGCAGTCCAAGAGAGCCCTAAAACGGCACAACACGGGTCCGAGATGGCCCTCAGAGAGCCCCATGGCGGCCCAAGATGACCCAAAGACACCCTCCGAAGAATTCCGAATCGTGATTCGGTCGTTCAGGGAGACCGCGGTTGGAGGCAGGGTGGCCCGAGGAAGCCCCCGGAGGCCCT